AACGGAGGTCCAGCGCACGCAACGTAGACAGGAAAACCCATCGCGAGACATATGACGTTGGACAGCCCGACGGTGGACAATCCGGCGCCGTTGTGTGAGTGTGTGTGTGTGTGGTCCGCTCATGGGGAAGAACGACGCTGTTTGCCCCTGTGTGATCGGGTGAATTCGGTGAAGCTACGGTGAGTGGGGAGGGAAGGCGACGGAGGGAGTAGGGAGGGGTGGGGAAGGGAGAGGTGAAGAAGGAAGGGAGAGGGGAAGAGGGAAGGGAGAAGGAGTAGAGAGAGGAAGGGAGAATGAGAGGGGGAGAGGAACGGGGGAGGGGAAGAGGGAAGGGAGAGGGGAAGTGGGAAGGGAGAGGGGAAGAGGGAAAGGAGAAGGGAAAAGGGAAGAGAGAGGGGAAGTGAGAAGGGAGAGGGGAAGAGGGAAGGGAGAGGGAGTTGAGAGGGGAAGGGAGAATGAGAGGGGAGAGAGGAACGGGGGAGGGAAGGGAATGGAAGGGGGAAGGAGAGAAGGGAGAGGAGGAGGGAGAGGGGAAGATGGAATGGGAGGGAGAAAGGCGCGGAGGAGGGGAGGGGAAGGGAAAGAAAGGGGGAGGGAGAGAAGGGAGAACGGAAGGAAGAATGGGAAGAAGAAAGGAACGGAGAGGGGAAGGGGGGAGGGGAAGGGAAAGGAAGGGAGAGGAGAAGGAGAAGGGAGGAAGAATGGGCAGGAGAAAGAAACGGTGAAGGGGAAGGAGGAAGGGATGGGAGAGGGGAAGCGGAGGCAGAGGGAAGGAGCAAGAAAAGGGGAAGAGGAAGGGAAAAGAGAAGGGGGAAGAGACGAGGAGAGGGATGGAGAGAGAAAAGAGGATGGAGGAGAGGGATAGGGAGAGAAGAGAATATGAAACTAGGAATGAAATGAGAAAGGAAAGAGGGAAGGGAGGAAGAGAAGAGGAAGAAGGAGAGGCGAAAGAGGGAAGGGATAAGTGAAGGAAATTCGAACATTTTAGTTCATTTTTAAGATAACCGACAAAAACAACATCAGCATTGGCAACAGCAACAACAACAAAACCACCTTTGATAACAAGACGTATAAATTTAACTAATTACGAGCTCGAAGACCCATTCAGAAGCGAGGAAACGGTTATAAGCGCTGGCGGTCTAATGACTGCATTCACACACGCGTCTACGTGCACGCACACACACACACACACACACACACACACACACACACACACACACACACACACACACACACACACGCACGGACGCACACACACATACACACACATGCAGGCAAACACACACACACACACACACACACACACACACACACACACACACACACACACACACACACATACACACACACACACACACGAAGGCAGAAACACACACACTCACACACACACACACACACACACACACACACACACACACACACACACACACACACACATACACACACACACGAAGGCAGAAACACACACACTCACACACACACACACACACACACACACACACACACACACACACACACACACACACATACACACACACACACACACGAAGGCAGAAACACACACACTCACACACACACACACACACACACACACACACACACACACACACACACACACACACGCACACACACATACACACACACACACACACACGAAGGCAGAAACACACACACACACACACACACACACACACACACACACACACACACATACACACACACACACATACACACACACACACACACGAAGGCAGAAACACACACACTCACACACACACACACACACAAATGCAGGCAAACACACACACACGCAGGCAGGCACACACACACACACACACACACACACACACACACACACACACACACGCACGCACACAAAACACACGCACACACACACACACGCAGGCAGACACACACACACGCAGGCACACACACACA